ATAAGTATCCCTAAGATAGGCTAACTTCAGTAGTTCCTGAGAAAACTTGTCCCCATTGTTCACACTATGCACTAAGTAAAAAAACCTTGATCAACGGCCATAACTCTGTAAACAAATAATTTATGGGGCCATTTTTCAAACTCTGTCTTTACAAGTATCCTTTAGATCAGATGCAAGCTTTCATTCGAGTGACTTCAGAAGTTTCTGTGAAAACTTGTCCCCAATTCACGCAGTATGCACTCAGTTGAAAAACACGGAGCAAGGGCCGTAACTCTGTAAAAAGGAATTTACGACACCAATGTTTCCTAAATCATATGGCAAGCCAGGCCATAGATGATCTTGAAGCAGTTGTTCTATTAGAGGCAAAAGGTAAAATGGGGCCACAATTCCTCTACAAACAATATGGCCATATTTCACAAAGAGCTGTAAAATTAATAATTCATGGGGCATAATTCACTAGGAATGAAACAATGAATTTCAAAAAAGGTGATGGGGTAAAATTCATTTAATATATCGACATGACGCGGCTGGAGATTGAACCCCGACCTGCCGCTCTCCAACCAGACACGCTTCAACTAGACCACGGAGGTCGAGTCATCCCAAAAAAATAACTAGTCTGAAATTACCCAAAAGGTTATGCAAGTTGGCACATGTAGGTCGACCAAAAACAACATTTTATGTACGTCTGGAAAACGCACCACAAAGTATCAACACAAAAAACTAGAGATGGTTTCCGGTCACGAGCATCCACCAGTTTTGGGTACACGGAGGAAACACACTCGTATGTATCCAGTTGCATATTTAATGCTGAGTATACACAGTGCTATACTTATAAAGTGTGCCAGTACTGTCTTCAGCCACTTAAAGCAATATCATGGCGGGAACACTCATTGCTAACATGTGTAGAATCGAACCCAGACCTTTGTTCGCACCAGCAAATGCTTTCAACACATGTCCACCCACCGACCCCTTTTCACATTGCTATTCATATCACATATACAATGCTATTCATATTGAGCATACACAGGCTACTCCGATTGAGCATAGGACAACATATGGTATTATGACAAATGGGTGTACGGTAATTTCCGACACAAAACATGCTCCACACATAGCTATACACTAGATGCGATTAGGCCAGGACTGGCTGAGGTTGTCTGTTCATGAATACAAGGCTACATCTCAAGATGCTTGTCTAGGGGAGCTCCTGTCTAAGACTATCTAAGTTATCAATGACAAAATAGTACCGATGATCACCTTCTTGCATGATTGTAGCAAGGTTTCAGTGATGTTCACAATGGTTTTAGAGTGAGTGAGTGAGTTGGGTTTAACGCCGCTTTTAACAGTATTCCAGTTATATCACGGCGTGTCAGCTGAATGTGGGAAGAAAGCCCGAAGTGATGCAGGTCTCAGACGTTTACCACTTCGGTGAAACCCACGAGCACGGGTATGGTGCTGACAAACCTAGAAACATAATCGGGGCGAACCGGGATTCAAACCCACAATACAATGGTTTTAGAATACACACTGAAACGTTGCTACAATTATGTGAGTGAGTTTGGTTTTACGCCACCTTTATCCATCTGGGGAATCGAAACCAGGTTTTTGGCAAGACGAGCGAACGCTTTAACCAATAGGTTACCCTGCTGCCCCGCTATTTTTTTAAAGAAGACGATTATCAATACTATTTTGTCAGTATTTACATATCAAACTCCTAAATGACACTCAAGATCACATCCAATTTAAATCAAACAATTTGAAAGAAAATTACTTTGGGACAAAATCACTATAATACGTTTGTGCTAATGCCAATCTCATTCAAATCAGATCATCGTGCTTGCCACCGCTGCACAAAGATCTGAGGACATCCCATTACAAGTCACGTCAGGACGACCTTTCACTAACTTTCACCGACCAATGAAATGACTAACAAGAAGTTGACATTAACCAATCAGAATGCAGCTTTCTTGAGCTTTATGGCACAAATTTCAAATTGGAGATTTCAATTCCAGACCACACCTTTAAACATATTTTGACAAAGTTCTCTGTTCAAAATTTTAAAACTGAAAGCGAATTCTGGAATGTCAAACAGATGGCCGAGATTGTCTCTTCCTTTCAAAATATGTTTATCCCATTAAAGGAAAAGACGAGTTTAACAATGATCAGTTGTACAACCTATAGCTGCCCGGTAACTGTCGTGCTAATCTTTTCAAGGTTGTACTATGGGAAATCACATTCAGCTTGTTCCTTGCACGATCTGGAAAGGCGCTCTGATTGGTCGGCTGAAAGGTCATGATGTGACCCATAATTGGATGTTACCAAATTTTTGTTTAGTGGATGCAAGAACTAAGATCTGATATTAATGAGATTGTGCAAATGCTTGTTGTGTTATTTGCCTGAGGGGACACTTAGTGGTCGACTGTCCAGGTTTCTTGTCGATCACGGAAACGACTGAACGAGTGTGACGGTTTATCTCACGATGGTGCACATCTTGCTTCTCAATCTCCTAATGGACACTCGAGTGCATGACACAGCTATTGTGTTATTAAAGTTATTGCTTTCATGGCATCCTGCGCTTGGGAGTGGGAGTGTTTTTGCTTGGCTGGAGTGAGCTTTTGGGGCTCGACCATTTCATTTCCTAGGAGTGGGGATAGGTTTGGATCTTATTTATTATTAAATAATTTCAGTGATTTATCAAGGCCTGCTCAAATATACCGTCTCAATACCACCTTACGGAGGTAAGGTTGTCAACTGACTGTAAAAGTCTAGTTTCGACCCTTGCCGAACTAGACTGGAATGTCGGTCATTGCGTCACCAGTGGCTATTAAGAGTTATGTCCCTTCTATGTCCCTCCTGCTGACCAATGAGATTCCACCTCTCATATCACTTGCATTTGCTTCAAACAATTGGGTGGCGCCCAGCCAAGACGATCTGATTGATAATCAAGATCATAAATTTAAAAACACGGGTCTTACTTTGCGAAATGCATCAAATCACGTGAGCACCTTGATTAAAAACATGAACAGATTTGGAATCTATATGCTGACGGTAAATGGACAGAATACATTCTTTGCAAATCCTGCAATTGCCAGAAATCTGCATGGCAGTTTACAACTCGGATGTCGATTTCATGACATGATTTTGAATTGACTATCAATAGACTCGTTAGTCCAGCCAAAATATAACCCAATATTCCAGCCTAGTTCAGCAAGGGTGGAAGCAGGACTTTTATAGTCAGTTAACTCCCTTGCCTCAGGAAGATGTTTGAACACTGGAAATAATAAGTACATGAGTGAGTGAATGAAAGAAGTGAAGTCCTAATGTTGACGATCTTGCTGCAGACATCCTATTACAGACCGCGATATATTAGAGCGGCTGACATCCTATTACAGTCCGCGATATACTAGGGCGGCTGACATCCTATTACAGACCGCGATATATTAGGGCGGCTGACATCCTATTACAGTCCGCGATATACTAGGGCGGCTGACATCCTATTACAGACCGCGATATATTAGGGCGGCTGACATCCTATTACAGACCGCGATATATTAGGGCGGCTGACATCCTATTACAGACCGCGATATATTAGGGCGGCTGACATCCTATTACAGACCGCGATATATTAGAGCGGCTGACATCCTATTACAGACCGCGATATATTAGGGCGACTGACATCCTATTACAGTCCGCGATATACTAGGGCGGCTGACATCCTATTACAGACCGCGATATATTAGGGCGGCTGACATCCTATTACAGACCGCGATATATTAGGGCGGCTGACATCCTATTACAGACCGCGATATATTAGGGCGGCTGACATCCTATTACAGACCGCGATATATTAGAGCGGCTGAAGTCCCAAAGTAACTCAGACAACTAGGTCATATTAGCAACAAAATATGGGTCATCTAAAACTCGAAATACAGATTGAAAAAATTCTCCACACAGGGTCAAAGAGAGTAACATGTTATCGAAAATACAAAACTAACGCTAACAAACGTTAACTCCCATGATGCACCTGTACTCACAGACAAAAGAGCGTGTAGTTTTGTATCTTCCAGAACTCTTTCCAAAAATTCTTTTTCCTGCTATGAATAATGGAAAAATTATGTTCAATGTGTCATGCTGGCTATAATTTCGCTGTGTATTCAAATTCTGTAATAAAATGCTGAAAACAGTCACACAATCTGAAATTTTGTTGATTATAAGGTACGTACGCATATTAATATCAAACCTGGCAGACAAAAACACACATTCATAAAACATCAATTTGCTGAAGCTGAAAAGAAATCTAAATATTTACATAAAATTTAAATAATTCAATAGTTATTGGAAATCAAAACATTTTTGAACTGTATTAGACGATACTATTACCGTACATAAGTCGTCTTTTTTTTATTGACATATGTGTCAATTCACAGATGTGTAATATGAACAATAGTTAATGAGCGAGTATGGTTTTACACCTCTTTTAGCAATATTCCGGCTAAAAGCGGCGTAAAACCATACTCACTCACTCACTCCCTAATACAAGGTATAGCAATTGAGACCTCAACCCTGTAGCATTTGTTCACTGTGTGACTAGACATACCGTATTCGACCATACCATACCATACCGTAAAAAAACGGTAATTATCGGTAAACAGGAATGCTGTGTATGTGGGGATTATCTCCCTTGATTCACAATGGCCATATTTTGCAATAAATATAGAGGGAAATAGAAGTGGTGCATAGGCATCGGTTGGCAAAAATAACAGCCACTGCAACTAATGAATACATCAGTGAGAGGCGAACTCTTTGAATAACTCTTTTCGGGAGGATCAAATCCAGAAAATCATGAGTGAATGGATGACCACTTCACTAATTTCAAATGTGATCTGTACTTTATATCGAAACAGCAGAGAATACGCCCACGTCTAGAAATATCAGGCTTCGAAAATCGCCAATAAATTGTACAACCATCTTTCTGAAGGGATAGATTAAAGGTGCCTTACCTCAAGAAGAGAATGTAGTTTAGTATCTTGGAAGACGCTCTCGAAGAAGTCCTTCTCCTGCTCTGTACAGTCAGCCAGACACTCGATTTCCTCCAGCGAGTCTAGGACCTGGGACACTGCTGCCAACAGAGTGTGAGTGAGTGAGTGAGGTTTTATGCCGCTTTTAGCAATGTTCTAGTAATATCACAGCGGGGGACACTAGAAATGGGCTTCACACATTGTACCCATGTTGGGAACCGAACCCAGGTCTTCAGCGTGAAGAGCGAACACTTTAACCACTAGGCTACCCGACAGCTTCTCAACAGAGTGTGAAGTCATGAATTACAGCGCCTTGGACAACCACCGTATTACAAGCGCGGGTACCCTAAGTCATCCCAGCTTTATTCAGTCAGCTTGATGTTCTCACCTGCAGATGTGACTTCCTCTTCGCTGTTTTCTTCTGCCGGAGTTGGATCATTGTAAAAGTTGGTCCACTTTGAACTTGACACTGCTGCCATGATGGCACCCTGCCAAGAAACCAGAATATCAAAACACTGTTCCACTTGAAGAGATTAATGTGACAAACACTGTATACAACTCTTGTCAGTCCACAAAAACATTGTATAACATATCCATAAATATATCATGCATCAATTTGTTTAATGCCGAACTCAGCAATATTCCAGCCGAGAAGACCTGGGGTAGAATAGGTCTTAAGCAACCCATTCTTGCTGTAAAAGGCGACTATGCTTGTCGTAGGAGGTGACTAACGGGATCGGGTGGTCAGGCTCACTGACTTGGTTGACGCATGTCATCGTATCCCAATTGCGATGATCGATGCTCATGATGTCAATCACTGGTTTGTCTGGTCCAGACTCTATTATTTACAGACCGCTGTCATATAGCTGGAATATTGCTGGGTGCAGCGTTAAACAAACAAACAAACAAACAAACAATCAAACACACAAATCATGCATCGATGTACTGGGTAGGCCCAGTATCATTATGAACCAGTTCCATTGCATGCAGTCACACTCTCAGTCTCATGACCATCATCATAATGTATCAGTAATCTAGTCAGGAACAACACAATCATTTCACAAAATAAGAATTAGCTGGAAGCATTCATAAAATCCCATAAAGTCATCCTCAGGAATATACACGTTATTTTTAATCATCCAGTTACATCTGATATCCTTTGTGAGATCAGGACATGGACTTTGATTCAGAAAAGTCTCAAGTGAGTTACTGTCACCTTTAATTTTCTCCTTGCATTGAACTTTTTCAGTGCTTCCACTGTTTCATGGAGGTGAACTTTTGGAGTTGTCTTCTTATCCTGAAACAAAGATACAGGGAAAATAGGAGGAGGTACGCACGAGCTATGCACGAGGTACACATGAGGTACACATGAGGTACACACGAGGTACACACGAGGTACACACCAGGTACGCACGAGGTATGCACGAGGTATGCATGAGGTACACAGGAGGTACACATGAGGTACGCACCAGGTACGCATGAGGTACACAGGAGATACACAGGAGGTACACATGAGGTACACACCAGGTACACACGAGGTACACACGAGGTACACACCACATGCGCACGAGGTACACAGGAGATACACAGGAGGTACGCACGAGGCACATTCGAGGTTCACACGAGGTACACATTTGCAGATGTACAGGGATTTATCTGGGCCTACTTACAGGTAGATATTCGGCATCAAGTCATTTCATCACAAAACAAGGAATATCTACTGAGAACAAGCCTGATAAACATGGCAATGTTGCTTTTACATGGCTGTACACTCACTCACTCACTCACTCACTCACTCACTCGCTCACTCACTCACTCACTCACCCGCTCACTCACTCATTCACCTTAAGGAGTATAATTATAAATTATGGGTGAGTATTGCCTTTATTAAGAACTGACTTCAATATATTTAGTGTTTTAAAGTAATGTATAAACATAAAACTGATGTGCATGCTGTTTTTAACATTTATAACTCAATAAATGCAAAATCATATTGAAGTCAAGTCTTTTGAATAAATATGTCACAACGATAACTTCACAGACTGCTTATTTAATCATTAACACAAACAATCTGAAATCAGTGACATCATTCATAATGCAACAAAAACCCCGCCCCTATCTTTTACCAGCCAATCAGGAAACAGTAGTCCTCTGTGGGTGAGGCACATCATTTTTGTTTCTTTATGGAAACCGAAAGGCAAAAGTAAATACTTGGTAAGCCAATCAAAAGCCATGTAATCACTTGTAATATATTTCTACAGACATGACCAAACAATCCCTCACCACTGATTCAGGGCCTGTTTCTGACTCGTTGATCAACCATATTTACAAAACACTTCGGTATTCTTGATCCATTCACGAAACATTTCTCTTTTCCAAGAATATATAAAAAACTTTATTTGCCTCTCTTATGTACATCCCATCTCGATCTTCTTTAGAATCGTAAAGCACGAAAATCAATATTTAGTCAATTGTATTGAAGCAAATATGTGAAATTGTTCTGACAGGTGCTCAGGGTATTGACAACCTCATGTTAAAGAATTGAGTAAAAATACTTAAAAACAAATCACCAAACAAATTTTATTCATTAAAATTAAGAAAAGATTGAAATTGTAAGATATTTGCTGAAGATACATTATGAAACAAAGTATTAAAAAAATATTTATTTAGACCCAGGAAGTCACGTGACGTGAGGGGAATTGGAATCGGCTTTTGTTCCAACAATAACATAGGGAATAAATCCCATAACGTTTTAGACTTTGATATGCCAGGTTGACTGGTATAAGGGAGAGAACTCTTACCTTTATCCACGGATGTTCCAAGGCATCGTCAATGGTTATTCTCTTCTCGGGGTCGAGCTCTAACAACTGTTGTACTAAATCCTTGCCTCCTTCCGATATGCCACTCCACTGTTTGGGTCTCATCTGTATTGAAGCATAGAACAAAAAATTCAACATAGAACTAAAAAATCACCATAGAAGTCCCACTTGAAGGTAAACTGTCTGCATTGACAATTCTGTTGATCTAAGAAGAGAGTATGGTTTTATGCTGCTTTTAGCAATATTCCAGCAATATCACAGCAGGGGGACACCAGAAATGAGCTTCACACATTGTACCCATGCGGGGAATCGAACACAGGTCTTTGGCTTGACAAGCAAACGTTTTAACCACTAGGCTACCCCACTGCCCCTAGCTAGTCTGAGGAGAGTTTGTTTGTTTGTTTGTTTGCTGGTAAACACCACACTCAAAAATTTCAGCTATATCACAGCAGCCAGCAAATATGTTGGTGACCGGACCAGACAATCCAGTGACTGATATTGTGAACAACGATTCACACCATCAGGGACGGAGACACGCAATCTACAAAGTTACCGAGCATGACCACCTGAATCATTTGGTTATTGGGGACTTATTCAAACCCAGAATCCCCACAGGGTGGACGCAGAGTGAGGTTGCACTGACACGCAAACACTTTAACCACTTGACTACCCTACTGTCCTCAAGTTAATGGCATTGTCTGATCGCTGAGTTTAGCACTGCTCAATTAAGTAACAGCAATATTCTCGCTCTATCCAAAGTGGTCTGTAAACATAAAGACAGGGCCAATATACCAGTGGCTGATCGAGCAATGAACCATGATATGATCACCTATTGGCCAGCACGAGGTACTGGCGGCGATCCCTATGAAGGAGTGTGTTCATAATACTCTTCAGCTGCCTGAGGTTTAGATGAAATTGGACTTAACATTGTGTTCAAGGTTATTGCACTAATATAGGGACATTCATGCATGTGTGTGTGCGCATAAGTGTTTGTGTGAGTGAGTGAGTTGTGTTTATCACCACTTTTAACAGTATTCGAGTTATATCAAGACGTGTCAGCTTAGTGTGGGAGGAAAGCCCCATGTGATGCAGGTCTCAGATGTTTACCACTTCGGTGAAACCCACTACCACGGGTATGGTGCTGACAAACCTAGAAACATAATCGGGGCGAACCGGGATTCGAACCCACAATCATAGGTTTCTGGAGTGCCAAAGGGACGCAACTCTGGACAGCGAATTGCGGCGCCTTAGACGACTGGGCCACCCGTGCCCCCTTGTGCATGTGTGTGCATGTGTGTGTATGTGTGTGCATGTGTGTGCATGTGTGTGTGCATGTGTGTGTGTGCATGTGTGTGTGTGTGCATGTGTGTGTGCATGTGTGTGCATGTGTGTGCATGTGGCTCTTTGTACTAGTTCGGATTAATGCCAGCTTAATATTGTCGTAGTCACCCCAGTCAGACACACTATACTGACTCTGAGCCAACTTGTTTTATCCCCTTAGCCGAGCACCAGGCAGTGAAAGAACAAGCACAATCTTTTGACGTCTTTTGGTATGACGCGGACAGGGATCGAACCCCTGACCTTCCTCTCTCTGGGCATACGCTATCCACAAGACCACGGAGGCGGCCTTTGAGCTCCCGAACCAGATATATTTGACATGATTGCATCACTGGTGTCTTTTCAAATTATTAGTCAGACAATTTGGGAATGGCGTTGAAGCAGGAATGTATGACGGAGCTTTACATATTGTCAAGAATTGCTCAGGAAGACATCAACCAGATGAACTTTGATAAAAAAAAAGAGTAAACGCCAAACTTCCAATGCGCTTTACTTACGTGATAGCTGCCTTTGAGTATGAGATGAAAGAGCCTCTCTTTGGTTCCACAGAAAGGGGGATAACCACTGAGAAGGATGAATAGCATGACGCCAGCCCCCCACATATCCACGGGCTTCCCGTAGAGCTCGCGCTTGATCACCTCCGGGGCCATATACTGGGGGGTACCCACTCGGCCTACAGAAAGAAAAAAATTCAACATGCTGTTATTTTAAAAAAAGACAATTATTTTTACCTGCATTTCAATAATATGAAGCAAATTGAAGTATGTACACAGAAAGACTGATAAGTTATTTATATTAGATCAACTGTGGTCCAAACACTAAGTTGTCAAACAAATGATATTACTTCACAATTGGGAGATATATGAAACAAAATCTCAGGCTGTAAGTTTTTTACAAACATTTGAAATAAACCGAAATGTTAATATTTCACTAATCTATTAATAGAAGAAGCAAAAAAACGTAAAAAGACAGTCTCAAGGCTCGGTTCTGACAACAGTGTTGAATATGATTTCAGAACAACGACACCTCACACTGGGGAGGCAAAGTTCTCCTGCAGCCTGTCAGTGAGTGAGTGAGTGAGTGAGTGAACAGACTGCTGGTGCAGGTCATTCTAGTGCAGATTAAACCAGGTTTTGAGACTTGTTGTGACTTGGAATCCCTGTTGAGTCCCTATTCTGCCCTGAACTCACCATGGAGACACACAGGTCCTGAGTCCCTATTCTGCCCTGGAATCACCATGGAGACACACAGGTCCTGAGTCACTATTCTCTGCTGGAATCACCATGGAGACACACAGGTCCTGAGTCACTATTCTACCCTGGAATCACCATGGAGACACACAGGTCCTGGGTCCCTATTCTACCCTGGAATCACCATGGAGACACACAGGTCCTGGGTCACCATTCTACGCTGGAATCACCATGGGAGACACACAGGTCCTGAGTCACTATTCTACCCTGGAATCACCATGGAGACACACAGGTCCTGAGTCACTATTCTACCCTGGAATCACCATGGAGACACACAGGTCCTGAGTCACTATTCTACCCTGGAATCACCATGGAGACACACAGGTCCTGAGTCACTATTCTCTGCTGGAATCACCATGGAGACACACAGGTCCTGAGTCACTATTCTACCCTGGAATCACCATGGGAGACACACAGGTCCTGAGTCACTATTCTACCCTGGAATCACCATGGAGACACACAGGTCCTGAGTCACTATTCTACGCTGGAATCACCATGGAGACACACAGGTCCTGAGTCACTATTCTACCCTGGAATCACCATGGAGACACACAGGTCCTGAGTCCCTATTCTACCCTGGAATCACCATGGAGACACACAGGTCCTGAGTCACTATTCTACCCTGGAATCACCATGGAGACACACAGGTCCTGAGTCACTATTCTACCCTGGAATCACCATGGAGACACACAGGTCCTGAGTCACTATTCTACCCTGGAATCACCATGGAGACACACAGGTCCTGAGTCACCATTCTACCCTGGAATCACCATGGAGACACACAGGTCCTGAGTCACTATTCTCTGCTGGAATCACCATGGAGACACACAGGTCCTGAGTCACCATTCTACCCTGGAATCACCATGGAGACACACAGGTCCTGAGTCACTATTCTACCCTGGAATCACCATGGAGACACACAGGTCCTGAGTCCCTATTCTACGCTGGAATCACCATGGAGACACACAGGTCCTGAGTCACTATTCTACCCTGGAATCACCATGGAGACACACAGGTCCTGAGTCACTATTCTACCCTGGAATCACCATGGAGACACACAGGTCCTGAGTCACTATTCTACGCTGGAATCACCATGGAGACACACAGGTCCTGAGTCACCATTCTACCCTGGAATCACCATGGAGACACACAGGTCCTGAGTCACTATTCTACCCTGGAATCACCATGGGAGACACACAGGTCCTGAGTCACTATTCTACGCTGGAATCACCATGGAGACACACAGGTCCTGAGTCACTATTCTACGCTGGAATCACCATGGAGACAAAGGTCCTGAGTCACTATTCTGCCCTGGAATCACCATGGAGACACACAGGTCCTGAGTCACTATTCTACGCTGGAAACACCATGGAGACACACAGGTCCTGAGTCACTATTCTACCCTGGAATCACCATGGAGACACACAGGTCCTGAGTCACTATTCTACCCTGGAATCACCATGGAGACACACAGGTCCTGAGTCACTATTCTACCCTGGAATCACCATGGAGACACACAGGTCCTGAGCCACTGTCTGGGAATCAGCTCTATCTGGTCTTTGAAAGGCATTTAGAAGTGATACACATATGGAAGAGAATTTTATGGAATTGTATCATTCACCTGATGAAGAAGTAAGCATATACACTGAAACGTTGTGTTCCTCATGATAAAGAAGTTGACATCCATAAAGTTCTCTTCCTTACAGCTTTATCTAGTTATTGTATCCTTGCTTCATATGTGTGTCAGTCATTGTGACAGATGTGGGGAAGTATACAGGGGCATGCAGTGGAATGTTAGTGATGGAGTGAGTGAGTTATTGAGTATGGTTTTACACCGCTTTAAGCAATATTCCAGCAATACCACAGCAGGGGTCACCAGAAATCGGCTTCACACATTATACCCATGTCGGGAATCGAACCCGGGTCTTCAGCATGACAAGCGAACGCTTTAACCACAAGGCTACCCGACCGCCCCTGTTAGTGATGGAAACAGCTAGATGACCATACAAGGTTGGCCAAGAATGTTACAGGAAACTGTTAATAAACCTTAATAAAATTCAATAATCATCCTGAAAGAGGCATATATTTATGTTTCCATGACAACTTATATTTACAATCATTATTGAATAAAAACAAAAGGAAGAGCACCAGCAAAGTAATAGAAGCGTCAGTCCGGGCAGGTCTGTGTATGGTCTCTGGTGGAAGTGGGGCAGTCGGGGAGCCTAGTGGTTAAAGCGTTCGCTCGTTATGCCGAAGACCGGGGTTCGATTCCTGACATGGGTAACAATATGTGTGAAGCCCATTTCCGGTGTCACCCGCCGTGATATTGCTGGAATATTGCTTAAAGCGGCGAAAACCATACTCACTAACTCACTCTGGTAGAAGTGAATTACAATCACCAGGATCCTGGTCTTGTTAGTATGTGTTGTGAATGACATGCTACTTGAAGTGAATTACAATCACCAGGATCCTGGACTTGTTAGTACAGGATCCTGGACAAGTTAGTATGTGTTGTTGAATGACATGCTACTTGAAGTGAATTACAATCACCAGTATCCTGGACTTGTAGGTATGTGTTGTTGAATGACATGCTACTTGAAGTGAATTACAATCACCAGTATCCTGGACAAGTTAGTATGTGTTGTTGAATGACATGCTACTTGAAGTGAATTACAATCACCAGGATCCTGGACAAGTTAGTATGTGTTGTTGAATGACATGCTACTTGAAGTGAATTACAATCACCAGGATCCTGGACAAGTTAGTATGTGTTGTTGAATGACATGCTACTTGAAGTGAATTACAGTCACCAGGATCCTGGACAAGTTAGTATGTGTTGTTGAATGACATGCTACTTGAAGTGAATTACAATCACCAGGATCCTGGACAAGTTAGTATGTGTTGTTGAATGACATGCTACTTGAAGTGAATTACAATCATCAGGATCCTGGACAAGTTAGTACGTGTTGTTGAATGACATGCTTCTTGAAGTGAATTACAGTCACCAGGATCCTGGACAAGTTAGTATGTGTTGTTGAATGACATGCTACTTGAAGTGAATTACAATCACCAGGATCCTGGACAAGTTAGTATGTGTTGTTGAATGACATGCTACTTGAAGTGAATTACAATCACCAGGATCCTGGACAAGTTAGTATGTGTTGTTGAATGACATGCTACTTGAAGTGAATTACAATCACCAGGATCCTGGACTTGTTAGTATGTTTTGTTGAATGACATGCTACTTGAAGTGAATTACAATCACCAGGATCCTGGACAAGTTAGTATGTGTTGTTGAATGACATGCTACTTGAAGTGAATTACAATCACCAGGATCCTGGACAAGTTAGTATGTGTTGTTGAATGACAGGTTTTTGTTTGTTTCCTTGTTGTTTTACACCACACTCAGCAATATTCCAGCTATATGACGGCGGTCTGTAAATAATCGAGTCTGGACCAGACAATCAACCGACAGACATCATGAGCATCGATCCACGCAATTGGGATACAATGACATGCATCATAAACCGAGTCAGTGAGTCTGTCACCTCTTACGACAAGCATAGTCGCCTTTTATGGCAAGCATGTGTTGCTGAAGACCTATTCTACCCCTTCACAGGTCAGCATTTCAGGAGGAAAGCCAACTACAACAAGAACAGATTGAGATCATAATCTGGGCCAGCAGTTCCTGGCATGGCTAAGGGAAGCAACTCTGCACAGAAACTTGGAGTGCCATAAATCCCACTGCCACTTGTGCTGCCTCAGACCAAACCTGAACACTACGTCTGTGTTAGTAATGTGAGAAGAAAGGGAGGTTACTCTAGTAGTCTAGAGGCAAAGGAAGCCCTCTTACCCACTACATCATCCCGTAAGTCTAACAGGGGTTCAACTTCAAGCCTTAATAGGGAGTCTGCAACCACCAACATCAGGATCAACACATGCACATGCAACATTCCTACACTGTTGTGCTATAATATTCAATACAACAACATTGCTATGCAGTAATAATCAGTACAACAGTGCTATGCAGTAATAATCAGTACAATAGTGCTATGCAATAACAATCGATACAACAGTGCTATTCAATAATAATAATCAATATTACAACACAATGCAGTAATAGTCAATACATCATTGCCACATTGTTGTGCTATTAATTGTCAACACAGCATTGCCAAATTGTTGTGCTATTAATAGTCAACACAACATTGCCAAATTGTTGTGCTATTAATAGTCAACACAACATTGCCAAATTGTTGTGCTATTAATTGTCAACACAGCATTGCCAAATTGTTGTGCTATCAATAGTCAACACAACATTGCCAAATCGTTGTGCTATTAATTGTCAACACAGCATTGCCAAATTGTTGTGCTAGTAATTGTCAACACAGCATTGCCACATTGTTGTGCTAGTAATAGTCAACACAACATTGCCACATTGTTGTGCTATCAATAGTCAACACAACATTGCCAAATTGTTTTGCTATCAATAGTCAACACAACATTGCCAAATTGTTGTGCTAGTAATAGTCAACACAACATTGCCAAATTGTTGTGCTATAAAAGTTGACAGATTATTGCCTAATTTTTGTGCTTAATTAGTCCATACTACCACAGCACCACTTATAAGAATGTTCACACTTCAATTTAATAAAAGTATAAAAAGTGTTACCCATTGTTCACTAATAACTGGGTTTTTTTAAACAATAATAACTGTGTCGGCACAAAATCTAAAAACATGTAGCAAGGGCCTTAACCCAGTAAAAAAGTAAGTTATGGTAACAAATTTCAAACTCAGTCTTGACAAGTATCTCCTAAATAAGCATGCAAACTTTCATTCACGTAACTTTATTAGTTTCTGAGAACACTTGCCCCATTACACCCAGTATGCACTAAGTTAAAAACCACCAAGCAAGGGCCATAACTCTGTAAAAAATAATAACTGACGGCACCAATTTTCGAACCGATCATGACCAGTATAATTTCGTTTCACAAGTTAGTCCCAATTTAGAAGCAGACGGACAAACACTGTTCATTTTTCCTCCACCTAGTGGATAATAACTGTATATTATTTTCTAGAAGAATTGTAACAGTGTTGAAAGTTGGTGTTAGAATGATTTGAAAATGGTACAAACTAGTTGTCCAAAAACACAATGAAGATCTATACACTTCCTCCATTTTTCCTGCGTGAGCTGGAATGTTTCTACGAGACATCATCCTCCACAAAATCACATCACATGCAGAATTATAACAGTGGCAGGCTATAATAATCAAGATATTACGTAATGGATTTTGTTTAAATATCAGACCTTAAAAAAATGTTGCATGCAGCATGACAAATCAGCGATATGTCTTCTGTTCATTTTCTCAAACTAAGACACTCTCCTTCATCATACTGGTCTTTTCTCTCTCACGTAATTATTACTATAGTGAGTTTTGCTTTACAAAAAAGTCCACAGAGAAAGAAACTAGATGTGTTTGATGGTGGACATAACGAAACCCAAACAGACAATGACAAATAGTACACTGCGAGTATGCCGCAAATCAAATCTTACCGAACATCGTGAAACCTAAAACATATTTCTTTTTTCACTGCTAGCATTACTACTGACCCCTCCGAATTCAGCATCTTATAAAATTATAAAACAATAAAACTATGATGAAATAAATTTGACGTGTCTTATTACCATACTCTTTCCATTTTTGTTCATTGATCAGTACAAGTATTAATATCTTCATAGCCATGAGATTTGAATTTACACCTGCTATATTATGCAGGAACAAACATAATTATCTCCCCTGCCAGCTAACTGATTTCAAATTGTCAACAACTGCCACAAGTTTCTTTTCTAATTGTGAAATTAACAGCCAGTCTGAGTTAAATTACCATTAAGAACAAGTCAATTGTGAGATATCCACAAGCTCCATGGAAAAGTTGATGATAAATACCTGAAAACTTTCTACAGTTCATCAAAGAGTGAGTGAGTGAGTTGTGTTTAACGCCGCTTTTAACAGTATTCCAGTTATATCACGGCATGTCAGCTTAATGTGGGAAGAAAGCCCGAAGTGATGCAGGTCTCAGACGTTTACCACCTCGGTGAAACCCACGAGCACGGGTATGGTGCTGACAAACCTAGAAACATAATCGGGGCGAACCGGGATTCGAACCCACAATCATAGGTTTCTGGCGTGACCAAGGGACGCAACTCTGCACAGCGAATCGCGGCGCCTTAGACGACTTGGCCACCAGTGCCCCCAGTTTATCAAAGAACTGAGGCCTCAATTGAATATCTTGGTCATGACAAAAAGACGGTTTATTTCATTTTCTTTACAATGTTCAAGAGGACATCCCAGGCCCAGTGTCCTATTCAGATAGAAATGTAATATAATTGTGGCTCAAAGATTTCCATGCAACAAGTATCTACAATTCATGCTCAATAGACTTCATGCAGCTAGTAAATAAATGTGATCATGAATATTAATCTTGGATTAAATATATTAGTAAAAACAATAATAATTTTACAACACATCACAAACCACTACGGAGAGATGCGCGATTCCATGTCATTCGACAAGCTAGCCAAACAATTTTTATGCATGTACTATTCCCTGACTGGCAGATAAAAGATGGTTTGTTGTTGTTAGGGCTGGGACGAGTCCAGATTTACTACCCGGTTACCCATCACCCTAATTCACCATGCACTTAATTACAGATATGAAGTAAAAAACTCCCTGATCCTCCTAAATTCAACTGTTATGACTCCATAAATTCCTCCTTGTTTGTTCACATGACTCTTTATGTGCAGACATAGTAATACAGAGTTATGTCCCTTGTTTTCAGAATAATCATAGAGTTATGTCCCTTACCTCCAGAAACTTTGCCATCTTCAGGAAGTTGCATGGCAACCCCAAATCCACCGAGTTTGACAGGTGCTGAATTTTCTTTGGAAGCAAGCAGGACACAATGAGGTTTGAGGTCTCGGTGTATGATCTGGTTGGCATGGCAATATCGCAGCGCCTCCAGGATCTGCCGCATGTAATGACTGCAGAAGGAAAATAAGGAAAATAAGATTCAGTTGAAACAAGCATGGAATACTCATATCCCCTGCCAATATGACATGTCCAGTTTTCAAGATCTGCTCTGGAAACGAGCACTTCTGCCATTTTCAGTCGAATTCAAGTCGTTGCCATGGAAACTCGAAAACAATTTTTTTTTAAATCACAAAGTATCAAAAGGCATCAGTTCACCACTAGACCTATTCATGTGCCAAGTTTGGTGAAGATATCTATTATGGATTTTTAGTTCTGCTCTGAAAACGAAATGTGATGGACAGATGGAAGGACAGCGCCCATTCCTATATCCCCCCTTCCACTTCGTGGAGCTATATTGGTTGGTCACAGTGTTTACCTCGTTTTCTGCAAGTCTTCAAATCCTGACAACCCCAACCTCAACTTTATTGCTCATGCTGTCAATCATTGGTTTGCTAAATCCTTTGTTCTGTTCAAACTTTTGACCAATCCGATTATATTTCGCAAGTCAGACATACATGCTTAACCAGATGGAGCATATTTGTCAACTTGCAGTTTATTCCAGAATATTCCTAAATCAAGGCACTATGTTCTTCCTTGAATCAAGCAACCGCCAGAGATAACATATTCTGCTTAAGAAACAAAATGGTCACCAAAGTTCTTAAATTGGGTAATGCCACATAAGATAATTTGTACTATATTTCATGTATGTTCAAGTGGAATTATCTTTTGCAGTTTAAATGATCAGAACACACAAGCATGGCTTCCACCATCCTCGATTATCCAGGGTATAATATCTCTATTCTATATTAAATACCCTGGAACCCAATATCCATCTTGTCCTAAAGGATGTTTGTTTGTTTGTTCGTTTGTTTGTTTGACGCCACACTCAGCATTATTCAAGCTATATGACGGTGGTCTGAAAATAATCAAGTCTGGACCAGACAAACCCATCATTGACATCAAGAGCATCAATCTACACAATCGGGATATGATGACATGCAGCGAGCCTGACCACCTGGTCCCGTTAGTCGCCTCTTACGACAACTTAGTCGCCTTTTACAGCAAGCATGGGTTGCTGGAGACCTATTCTACCCCAGAACTTCACTGGTCTCCTAATAGACAACTGAAATGGATCGATATGCTGTTAGGCGTGGTGACTTGGTTGATTGCATGGCAGCATACCCAAACACCATTGGATAGTACCATCACTGTCTGATACAGCCTATATTCACACGCCGTTGTGATGTGCTTGAAATATTGCTGACTGCTGCATTGGACATTATTCACTCACTAACTTCACGACTAAAGTATTGAGTGAGTGAGTATGGTTTTACGCCGCTTTTAGCAATATTCCATCAATATCACAGCAGGGGACACCAGAAATGGGCTTCACACATTGTACCCATGTCGGGAATCGAACCCGGGTCTTCGGCATGACGTGCGAATGCTTTAACCACTAGGCTACCCGACCGCCCACTAAAGTATTGAGAAATACATGGTTCATACAGAAATGGAACACTAAAATTCAAGGCCTTTACAAGGTTTTTCAAGGCTGTCAAGTGTCATTTAAAAGGTTTTTCAGTTGGGTTATGAGCCTCAGTCTGTCAATATTAAGAAAGACCAAACTAAATATGAGTCGTAAGTCGGAACAAGCAGTATGAACATCACAAATTTTCAAACAAGATTGATTTCACAACCAACAAATTTTTTTTTATCAATGTGATGAATTCTTCAAGGTGTTTGGCAAAGTGTCCAACATATTACTGTGATAAATCACACTTGAACAACCTTGGTACATACCTACCGTATTCCAAGTAATAAGAGCCCAGGGCGCTCTCAAAATTAGAAATAGGGGGCTCTTATTAGAATATTATTTTGTCGAAAAAACCCAGAGTTTCCGTGGTTTATGCTGACATCCTGAAATGTTTATATACGACAGATATATTTTTCCAGAATTTAATTGCCCTTACTTAAGGGTGCATATAATACATGAGTGCGTATTATACGCGAATAAATAAGTCTTGTGTACATTGATCAATCGGAAGGGGTGCTAATTGGGATTGTTCACGAGGCAGTATATTAGCAAATATCGCCGTGGGTGCTTATTAGAGCAAAGCGCTTATTACGTCGAATACGGTATTAGTTTTGTGTTTTTAATACTCTTATTTATAAGCCTGCACCATTTTGTTCAAATTCAAGGCTTTTCAAGCTATTTTGGTGATATTCAAGGCTTTTCCAAGCCTGCATGAACCTTGAAATATACTACTCAAAAGAGTGAGTGAGTGAGTGAGTGAGTATAGTTTTATGCCGCTTTTAGCAATATTCCAGCAACATAGCAGAAGGAGACACCAGAAATGGGCTTCACACATTGTACCCATGTCGGGAATCAAACCCAGGTATTCAGCGTGACGAGCAAACGCTTTAACAACAAGGCTACCCCACTCCCTCTTATCAGGTGTTCTTAACTTCTTTTCAGCAGCATATATCATATCTTGATTGCTATGATTTTAGGCTTGATAACCTCCAACCTTCTCGGTCCACAACTGATAAAAACTGCACGCCTGCCAACATTTTACCCATATCATATCTGCAATTTTAGATAATTGATTGGTATTAACTAACAGTGCTTCCAACAATTAGCTCCTAAGGCAAGCAGCTTCCACTGAAGGAGCTCTGTCAGAACCAATGATCTATACCATCTTTCCCATCTCGCCCTAATTGATATCTATGCCGACTTCACAATCAGCGACACACAGTGACATTAATAGCCATAGTCGATGAGAGGGGAAGATGAGAGTTCAATTTCCAACGAATCATTACTCCTTATGAATGTAATTTGTCGTTGTCCAGCCTGAATACCATAACTCCATCATCACACCAGTACACACAGAGAATGAGTGAGTGAGTGGGTTGGGTTTGTGTCTGCACGATCACAGCACGGCAGTTGAGGGGGAGCTAGTCACAGGTTAATACTTCCAAGTCCCAAGAGGAGAAATATCACAGCATGGCAGTTGAGGGAGAACTAGTCACAGGTTAATACTTCCAAGTCCCAAGGGACGAAGTATCACAGCACGGCAGTTGAAGGGGGAGCTAGTCACAGGTTAATACTTCCAAGTCCTAAGAGCGAAATATCACAGCATGGCAGTTGAAGGGGGAGCTGGTCACAGGTTAATACTTCCAAGTCCCAAGAGACGAAATATCACAGCACGGCAGTTGGGGGGGGGGGGGGGGGGGGAGAGAGAGAAGAGAGAAGAGAAGAAGAAGAGGGGGGAAGGAGCTTAATCTGTTAAGGTCCAAAGATTTTGCAAGTTGTTTTTCTCCACAGTCAGAAATAGTCCAATGGGTGACACATGTAGGCCAGTCAATCCAGTGGTTGATATATTACAATACAGTTATCGTTACCTCTCATGACTGGTGACAAGTGACAAGGGACCAATGCTATGCTGAAAAAACTGAAAACCTGAAGCGGTCAGTCATGGTCACTGCAATTTCCCCTCCTTGTGTCTACAGTCAGACATATGGCCTTGTATAGACCATGGGTGACATTCACAATACAGTGATCCCTCGCTATTGTGCTCTTCGATAAAGCGCTACCTCGGTTACTACGCGCGGTAACGCATGGGTCCCAAAATTTATGTACACTTTTAATACTGAGCGTTTTACACAGAGATGATTGTATTGTTGTTCGTTGTTCATTTGCACATAACGCTTCTCATTGCACAATCAACCGTTTATCGCAGAATGGAGTTCTAATAATCTGTTTGAAAACATCCGGAAATACGATTGTCCTACTAGTTAACTTTTCACACTATACATCCTTTGATCTTAGAAGCGCATGCATGCAATAAAAGAGAACCACAAGCGAAGTTTATATTCTTAATTAGTGGGCAATCCAATTTGAGGCGACACTGTCAACTCACATGTAATTGCTGTCACAACACGGCGGTCATTCCTTTTGATTCGGATCAAGTAACCGTATCAAACCAATTAATCTGGCTTGAATGTGTATCTATATTTGTATGAATGTGTATGAATGCGCGTAGCACTGGTCAAAACTCTCTTTTTCTGTATTTTAAGCAACATGACCAATCAATGCCACTGAAACACTCTGTACTTGTGTAATGAATTGTGATTGGCTCTTCACTCAAAGCGTTTGTTACTACCACTATCGATTGATATTTTCATGTAAGTAGACTACATTCACATTGAATGTGACAGTTAAGGCTTGTAAATAATAACAAACGGCGAAAACATAATGGATATATATTTTTACACTATGAACGGTAAACAACTTGTATCATTGCAATGTGCAAGACAAGGCGAAGATCGTGAGATTGGCCGAGCGTGCTCCCCCGCCTCGGCCTCGGTTAAACGGCTCATCGTCTATAACGCCCACCAATTATTTGGACCCCATTGGTAGCGTTGTAGCGAGGGACCACTGTACCTTAGAACCGTAACTGTTTGAACAAAATTGTTTTGAAATCTGTATCTAAACCCAAAATAATAATAAAAAGCTGCTCAATGGTGAGGACAGAATACAAGGAGGTTGAAATGATCCCTGAATCTTGGTGTCTGTCTGTCTGTCTGTCTGTCTGTTGTTTAATGCCACACTCAGCAATATTCCAGCGATATGATTTTTTCTGTAAAAACATCGAGTCTGGACCAGACAATCCAGTGATATCAATGCATCAACCAAGTCAGCGAGCCTGACCACCCGATCCCGTCAGTCACCTCTTACGACAAGCCTTTTACAGCAAGCATGGGTTGCTGAAGACCTATTCTACCCCGGAGCTTCACGGGTCGAATAGTATATAATGGCTGGTTTGGTTGGCCAAGACACATTGTTAACAGCTGCCGTGACGTAGCTGGGCTAGTGCTCACTGTGTATAACAAACAAACAACAATGCTGGCATGGTGGCAGACCAACATTTAGTCTCTGGAACTATATAATTAGGATAAAAACAAACAGCTACATCTTAACTGAAACGGAGCCCGTGTGATATAGGAACCT